GGGGATTGGAGTAGTGGGTGTAGGGTACTAGGGGAGAAAAAATGTTGATTGTTCAGATTAAGTGATCGGAATGTGAGAATGGCTTAATCACAGTTTTGACTAGAGGCAGTCCTTGGCTTTTTTTTTGAGATGGCCATTCTTGTGGGATTGGGGGTCTCAGAATGGTAAACCACTTGATTTGTTTCTTGGAAAAGTGATTACATCCCTATATTTGGACAAAGAGGAGAAACACCTAGTTTGCAAGGAGAAAACACCTCAATCTCTTGTTATAAGAGATAACAAGGTGTAGAGCTGGATGAACACAGCAGGCTGAGCAGGAAAGCTGAAATTTCAGGTCTGGACCCTTCTTCAGAAATGGGGGAGGGTAAGGGGATTCTGAAATAAATAGAAAGAGATGGGCAGGCAGATGGAAGATGGACAAAGGAGCAGAAAGGTGGAGAGGAAACGGACAGGTCAAGGAGGTGGGGATGGAGCCAGTAAAGGTGAGTGTAGGTGGGGGTTGGGTCAGTCCAGGGAAGACAGACAGGTCAAGGAGGCGGGGATGAGGCTGGTAGGTAGGAGGTGGAGGTGGGGGTGGGGGGGGGGGTTGAGGTGGGAGAAGCGGATAGGTGGGAGAAAGGACAGACAGGTTAGGGAGGCGGGGACAAGCTGGGCTGGTTTTCGGATGCAGTCGGGGGTGGGGTGATTTTGAAACTTGTGAAGTCCACATTGATACCATTGGGCTGCAGGGTTCCCAAGTGAACTATGAGGTGCTGTTCCTGCAACCTTTGGGTGGCATCGTTGTGGCACTGGAGGAGGCCCAGGATGGACATGTCATCCAAGGAGTGGCAGGCGGAGTTGAAGTGGTTCGCGACTGGGAGGTGCAGTCATCACGAACCAAATGTAGGTGTTCCACAAAGTGGTCTCCAAGCCTCCGCTTGGTTTCCCCGATTTGGAGGAGGCTACATCTGGAGCAGCGGATACAGTATACCACATTAGCAGATGTGCAGGTGAACATCTGTTTGATGTGGAAGGTTTTCTTGGGGCCTGGGATGGGGGTGAGGGGGGAGGTGTAGGGACAGGTGTAGCACCTCCTGCAGTTGCAGGGAAAAGTGCCAGGGGTGGTGGGGCTGGTGGGGAGTGTGGAGCGGACAAGGGAGTCGTGGAGAGAGTGGTCCCTCTGGAAGGCAGATAAGGGTGGGGAGGGAAAAATGGCCTTGGTAGTGGCGTCGGATTGCAGGTGGTGGAAATGGCGGATGATGATGCGTTGGATCCGGAGGTTGGTGGGGTGGTATGTGAGAATGAGGTGGATTCTGTTTTGGTTGTTATTGCGGGGAGGGGGTGTGAGGGATGAGTTGTGGGAAACGCGAGAGACGCGGTCGAGGGCGTTTTCAATCACTGTGGAGGGGAAGTTGCGATCCTTGAAAAACAAGGGCATCTGGGATGTCCGGGAGTGGAATGCCTCAACTTAGGAGCAGATGCGACGGACGCAAAGGAATTGGGAATAAGGGATGGCATTTTTGCAGGTAGGTGGGTGAGAGGAATTGTATTCTAGGTAGCTGTGGGAGTCGGTAGGCTTGAAATAGATATCGGTTTCCAGGTGGTTGCCAGAGATGGAAACAGAGAGGTCCAGGAAGGATAGAGAGATATTGGAGATGGTCCAGGTGAACTTAAGGTTGGGGTGGAAGGTGTTAGTGAAGTGGATGAACTGTTCGAGCTCCTCGTGGGAGCACAAGGTGGCACCAATACAGTCATCGATGTAACGGAGGAAGAGATGGGGGGATAGGACCAGCATAGCTTCAGAAGAGGGATTGTTCCACGTATCCTAAGAGGCAGGCATAGCTTGGGCCCATGCGGGTACCCGTGGCCACCCCCTTTGTAGGAAGTGGGAGGAATTGAAAGAGAAGTTGTTGAGGGTGAGGACGAGTTCAGCTAAGCAGATAAGGGTGTCAGTGGAGGGGGACTAGTTGGGCCTGCGGGACAGGAAGAAGCGGAGGGCCTTTAGGCCATCTGCATGGGGAATGCAAGTATATAGGGACTGGATGTCCATGGTAAAGATGAGGTGTTGGGGACCAGGGAATCAGAAGTTTTGGAGGAGGTGGAGGGCATGGGTGGTGGCATGGACGTAGGTGGGGAGTTCCTGGACCAAGGGGGAGAAAATAGAATCGAGGTAAGTGGAGATAAGTTCGGTGGGGCAGGAGCAGGCAGAGACAATGGGTCAACCAGGGCAGTCGGGTTTGTGGATTTTGGGAAGGAGATAGAAATGGCGCTGCAGGGTTGGGGAACAATGAGGTTGGAGGTTGTGGGTGGGAGGTCATCTGAAGTGATGAGGTTGTGGATGGTCTGGGAGAGGATGTTTTGGTCGTTGGGGGTGGGGTCATGGTCAAGGGGGTGGTAGGAGGAGGTGTCAGAGAGCCGGCGTCTGGCCTTGGTGATGTAGAGGTCAGTGCGCCATACTACAACTGCGCCTCCCTTGTCTGTGGGTTTTATGGTGAGGTTGGGGTTGGAGTGGAGGGCTGCACATTCTGCGGGGGAGAGGTTGGAGTGGGTGAGAGGGGTGGAGAGGTTGAGGCGATTGATGTCTTGACAGCAGTTGGAGATGAAGAGGTCGAGGGAGGGTAGGAGGTCTTGGGGTGGTGGCCAGGAGGAGGGGGTGTGTTGGATATGGGAGAAGGGGTCAGTAGAGGGAGGGTTAGGCCCACCCTTCCCTGCCTTCCGGAGGGCCACTCTCACCTTGACTCCCTTGTCCGCTCCACCAGCCCCACCACCCCCGGCACTTTTCCCTGCAACCGCAGGAAGTGCTACACCTGCCCCTACAACTTCCCCCTCACCCCCATCCCAGGCCCCAAGAAAACATCCCACATCAAACAGATGCTCACCTGCACATCTGCTAATGTGGTATACTGTATCCGCTGTTCCCGATGTGGCCTCCTCTACATCAGGGAAACCAAGCTGAGGCTATGCTCGGTTCACGACAAACGACAGCACCTCCCAATTGCGAACCACTTCAACTCCCCCTCCCACTCCTTGGACGACATGTCCATCCTGGGCCGCCTCCAGTGCCACAACGATGCCACCCGAAGGTTGCAGGAACAGCACCTCATATTTCGCTTGGGAACCCTGCAGCCCAATGGTATCAATGCGGACTTCACAAGCTTCAAAATCACCCCGCCCCCGACCGCATCCCAAAACCAGCCCAGCTCGTCCCCACCTCCCTAACCTGTCCGTCCTTTCTCCCACCTATCCACTCCTCCCACCTCAACCCCTACCCCCACCTCCTACCTACCAGCCTCCTCCCCACCTCCTTGACCTGTCTGTCTCCTCTCCACCTTTCTGCTCCTTTATCCATCTTCCATCTGCCTCCCCCTCCCGCATCGCCTCTCTCTCTCTCTCTATTTCAGAATCCCCTTCTCCTCCCCCATTTCTGAAGAAGGGTCTAGGCCCGAAACGTCAGCCTTCCTGCTCCTCTGATGCTGCTTGGCCTGCTGTGTTCATCCAGCTCTACACCTTGTTATCCCAGATTCTCCAGCATCAGCAGTTCCTACTATCTCTCAATCTCTTGCTACATTTTTATATGGAAAAGTAACAAAAAATCTGAGCTGTTGTCACACACCATTTCCTTGTAAAACGCTCTCTGTAAATTGCCCATTGAAGGGATAAAGAGATACAGAAAGGGGCAAATTCTCAACCAATGAATGAAAGACAGCATTGTTATGTAAACAGCCTAATCTCATCAACAAAGAATCTGAAGGAGGTGAAAGAAAACAGCATTTGATGCCTGTGATCAGAACTGTGTTGCTCTCCTTTATTGTTTTCTCCCCCAGACAATACCTGTATCGTGTCTATTTGTCTGTGTTTGTATGAGTATGGGATTCTTTTAAAAGGGTAAAGTTTAAGATATGTTATCATAAGTTAGTGAATCATGTTTCTTTCTTGCCACTGGTTTAAAATAGTGTGGTTAGAATAAATATCTTTTTGACTTGTTAATAAACAAATGTGGTTTGCATTTTTTTTTAACTTGAATTCAGTGGAATTGTAAAAACTTGCAACAGCCAGAGATAATTTGAGCTGTTCCTGTACTGGCGGTTTGAAAAGCAGCTGTACCTAGTCTCTCATCCCTACATTTTGTTGATAAGGCTGTTAATTTCCTTGCCCTCAACTACATGTGTCATTCCCTTTCTAAAGTAAGGAATCTGGTTCCACGACTTATCAGGCATCCTAAAATGAGTTGGAAAGAATGGCTACCTTTTGGACTAAAGGCTCTCGTTCTTACTTTCTCTGTTTCGGAGAGCATGTGATTTGTAGCGAGACATAGTGACATTTTTAGTGACAATGCGTTACTTTACTTTACTTTTTTTTAAAAAACAAGTTACAATGCTTTTGAAATGTGTGGACCAGATACTCTTTCAAGTCTCTCCCTTCAAGGGCTATCTATTGCATTATTTGAATGAGCTGTAATGAACAATTCTGTGATTGGTTCTGATGTTTCCCATTGTAAAAATCGCTTATTTTTTGGGTTGAGGATGAGAAAATGGGAGGAGTTGATGCATTAAACCAGGGAAACTGGAAGATATTGTACTTATTCGGTTTCACATCACTACAGACTCGGAGTAGTGAGAATTTGTTTCCAGCATATTACCCCAGTGAGCTGTGACACCTTCCACAGAGCTGTATTGGCATATTTCTGGTAGTTCTTGCATAACTTTCATAACTTAGATGATTGAAGTGATTGGGTGGGGCCAAGGAATGGGAGGTTTTAATTACCTAACTGATCTATTGGTTTGAAGACCATATTTTTGGAATGAATACAGCACAGAGGTAAGACACCAATTTAGATTGGTGTTGAAAAAGGGTAAATTCTAATTACATGCGTGTAATTTTAAAACTAGTTCTTAGTGCATATGACTTTAATCACAGTTTGCAGTTTATGGAAACGACCGATAATAAAATCTTGGTTTATGAAATACTATAAAATGTGACACTGATATTTATTTCTTACTTTTAATTTTGTTTATTTGCAGGTAAATCAGGAGAAAGTTTAAGCAAACAAAAATGCCACTGTTCAAGTCGCACAAAAGTCCAGCAGACATTGTGAAAAATCTCAAAGAGAATATGGCAATGCTGGAGAAGCAGGATATTTCAGACAAAAAGGCTGAAAAGGTATGCAATGTTGCTTGAAAAAGTGTTGTCATGTGGGAATAATCTTGTTCTATGCATGAGTGGAAAAAGCAGTTGTGTATTTGAAAGCTGACAAAAGAAATTTTCCGGTGTCTTTGTCATGTCATAATCAAAATGCCAATATTCTACCATTGAATAATTAATCATGCTTTTATGTCAGCTTTTAAAATATTTTGTTTGGGTTTCATGGAAGAAAAGAACTTGCGTTATATAGTGCTTTTCCGTTGATGTTGCTTTAAATATGAGCAAATAAGGCAACCATTTAACCGTACGTCAAGTTGGTAACTTAACAGCCAGTCATTTTTGTTGGTCTTCACTAAAGTCTGATATGTCAAAATGGTTGAGTATTTATACAAGTACAGACTGTAATCCAACACAATCAAGTCCATTTTCTCTGTATTCCATCTTGAAAATTGTGTGTATTAGTCGTAGCTGCCATAGTCCCAGAGGACCATTTGAGCTGTGCTCTCGTTTGAGACAATTGGTGGTTAGTTCTACCATGCCTGAGCTGAGGGGCAAGGATAAGAAGGCAGGACCTTCATGGTGATCTTAGCCAGTATTGAACGCATGCTGTTGGCCTCAGTTGACAAAACAAGCCAGTAATTCAGTCAATTGAGCTAATCAACTCCCATTGCAACAACTATGACTCTGAGAGGAGTACAATGGAAATTGAGTCCCCCTATTCCACGAACTGTACCAGAGTATAGACGTCTTAATTAATCCTCAAAGTGGCACATTATTTCAATTTATTGCTGTTATCTAGACCAAAAGCAACTTTCACCAGATTTCTGTGATCAACGCAAAAATAACTTGTTTGTTAAGAACAAACTTATGCTTTAAACAAGTGCCAAAACCAGTTATTAACGAAGTTACTGTGTAGAATTAAAACTATATCCTCCCTAATCCTTACACGTTCATACAGTTAGCACAAGACGCAGCTTTGCACATGTACCATTGGTGAAAAAATAAGGGTAGAATGAGTTGACCTCAGTTCCTCTGATTTCTTGTTGAGGAGATCAACTTTGTTGTTTGTCACAGAGTAATGGAAGACCCTGTGCTCAGATGGAAGGTCAGCTAGATCTAGATCTTTGGCTTGTGTGAACAGTTTCCATTTAGAGTTTGAGAAAAGAATTACTGATTTCTGGAACATTCTCAGGTTCCTAGAAAATACTTCGCTGAGAAAATGCTTCAGCTGATTTTACTTTAAGTGTCTTTCTTTCATTTGAGAGAGAGAAAGATATCTTTCTCTTCCCTCCCCCACCAGCTTTGTTCCAACTCCCACATTTCATAAGAAACAGAATTTTCTATTTTCCATTTGGAAATAATTTTAAAGCTGATTTTCATTTAGAATTCATTCTGTTTTTTTTTTTTTCCTCCACACCCACCGCCACCACCAAACAAAAACCTACCAAGGTTCAACTTCTACTTTAGTGGTCACTAGTCCTCTCGAATATTACCTCTTCCGTTGTTCAACAGGGTGAAGGAACATGCAGAAAAGTAACTTGAACCAATAACAACCTGGATCAATCCCTCGAGCCCACATTTTTCCCCCCCCTTTCCCAACTCGCCACATGGCTCTATGATCTCCCCTTTGAACATGAATTGAACATCTCCAACTGTATAACATTGAAAGCTGAAGACAAGATTGGACAGAAAATATCCTCCCAAATAAACACATGGTTTCCAAACCAATATCTGAGCAATCAAGTTTCAGACTCCTTGGAAAATGTGTACAATTCTTAATAACATGACTGGATATGCCCAATGTGGCCACCTGATGGAGCACTTCAAAAGTCTGGCTAGAACTGTGTAAACTGTGACCAAACCATGGAGGGTATAATAACATTTTGCTCCAACTCAAGTTTGAAGCAGCATTCTGATTTGTGCTTGCTCTCCTGTAGGGGATTGGACTGTTAAGAAACTCGACATTAAAACTGTGGTAGCTCCTAAGGCATATGAGAGAAGAAGGTTTGTTGGCTTGGGTGTAACTGTAGACTGGTATATCAGAATAAACAGGTGGTGCTTTTCCTTACTGAGATGTTAAATTGAGGTCACCCCTGCTACACTGATTGCTGAGCAATCTATTCATTTGTTCCATGAGTTTTTCTGAGATCTTGTGTGTCAAATGATAGTACTACTGTAGAAGTCAGAGTTATATATACTGTCATTGTAAGATGCACCTGGGGAAATTTGAGACACATTGAGATGCTCTAACGGTTGTTATTTGTATAAAATACTAGACAGTGTTGTCTATCTTGCTATTCTCATAAAATTGTGTATCTGAACATGATGGTGTTGGCTCATGAATGTTTAAAAATGATGCCTATGGTAAATTTAACATAAAAATTGCACATCACTTTGGCGTTAAATCGCTAACCACATTGTCCTCGTTTTGTTCAGGTAATCAAAACTAATAATTTCACATTTTACTTTTAACATTTTGATTGATATCTATAGATAAATTTTTTGAAGACCTAAGGATCAATTTTTATTCGTGAAATTTGGGGAATTTATTTTTGTTCCTTAGTGATAATTCAGTGATTTCTGAGATTCCATCCTTGTTCAACAAAAGCTGAAAACTGGTTGCCATGGTTCTTCTACAGGCTAAGGTATTAATTGTATTAACAGACTGAGTGCAATAGGATATAAATTCAGATCTTGGAACTGATCTTGCATTGAGTCCCTATTCTCGTGGGGGCCATTTGGAAGAGGGACTCAAATAGAGGATGATGGAAAATGATCTTGTCCAGCTTCTGAGCAGTAGGTTCGCGAGCAATATTTGAATGCATGGAGTGCACCCCAATCTCAATCGCCTTTTGCTTGAGAAATTTTTTATCCAGGGGAACTTAAAGTTGTGACAAAAGTTACATTAAAAATGTTGGTGGGATCAGGGAGTTGTTTGTTCCCATTTTGTATCTAAGAAGCAGCGCCTAAATTTCCCAGATTTTTAGGCTAGTATATTTCAATCTATTTTAAGTTTTTAAAATCTTCTGGTTAGTTTTGCTTCAATCATCTGTTGCTGCTGGCATTTTTAATGTTGTTTTGATGGCTTATTTTAAGGCGGGACAACAACTTTTTCTCGATCATTTAACTGCTGAGACTAATGTCCTGTCAAAGGGGTAAATGAACCTAAGCAAGAATGGGCGCAGTTAGCTGAATAGTTCCTTTCTCGAACTGTTGATGTGAATTAATAACTTAATTGGTAGAGCTAGCTAGCTAGTGTTAATGACTTCTATAATTATGTAGAATAAAAAGGAGAGGTATTTTGCAGCCTTTCAGTGTGCAAAATTTTCCATAAAGAGAATTAATTGTATATGAAGTTTCTCATCCTTAAAATGTAGTCCTCAAGTTGTGAAACGAGCAAAACACTGATGCACGAAATCTGAAATGAAAACTAAATACTGGAGATAATCATCATTCATGGAGAGAGAAACCGAGGTAATGTAAGCTTGATATTTTTCGCCCCACAGATGCAAGACCATAGTAAAGGTTGTTGGTGAGGGAAAGGCATTCTCATACAATAATATCGAAATGATTTAATAGCTGCAGTATGTTTACAGTACATTTAACCATATAAACAGCAATGAAAGGATTTGCTTGAACGACAGAATACAGCAGCTAAAAAACACAGGTTGCAGTAAAATTGCTGTATTTATAGTGAATTAAATTTGAAATCTTATGTAGTTTGTAATTTTAAAAACTGCTTTTCGAAGGATAAATCCTAAACCTCCAAGCGACTGAATTGTGCACAACAGGTATTTTTACTGGGAACCTGTGTGAATGTAATCACAAAGTTTTGCCATTAAATTTGTCCTCAATCAAATAGAAACCTACTTGGACTAGGTTAGTGAAATACTAATATTTGCCTTCTTGTTAGGTGACTAAATGTGAAGAAGACCCTAAGTTATGGTATCACTTGATAAATGTGACGATTCGCATTTGTACACTGTGGATTTTGTTTTCTGACCATTGCATTTGTATCAAATCCCTAGATGAAAAGAAAAGGCAATGTTCAAGAAGGTGTATCACCACCAGCTTCTCAGTATGTGAAAGGGCAATAAATGTCAGTCTTCTTTGCGATGTTCATGTGAATAAGGGTTATTATAAACTCAAAAGATGGAGAACCCTTCAGAATCAGAATTGAAATGTTTGTTGTTTTTACTGTACTGAATTGTGCTATGTTGTAAATTTACCAAACTAATTCAATATCATGTACATGGTATCCTGGGAGTTAATCATGAAGGAGTGTCTTTCTCGGACTCTTCTAGTCGTCTGAGGCATGATGACCCTCTGTTAAACTACCACCAATTGTGTGTCTCTCTCTCTCTCTCTCGCGAGCACTCTCCCTCGCTCTCTCGCTCTCTCTCATGAGAGAGCTATCCTAGGCCTACAGCCACCTTACCTTTCATACAATTAACGCTTGTATTATTAAACCAAATTCACAAACTGTACACCACTTGGATGTTGTAGACAATTAAAAATATATTACAAACCAAAGTTCACAAGATTTATGCTATTATTTATGATTCATTCACTTTATTGGTGCATTGAAGATAATTGGGTTTCCAAGCCAGTCAGTAAAGCTTTGGTGAAATTTCAGAGCTGCTTTTGACCTGAGAGTCTAAAAATTCATTGTGATAGGTTCCTACAAAATAATACAGCATTACAGCATGACTCTCTGCAAATTTCAAAGAGAACCATCTTACAATTAAATTTTGAAATGACTTTGATACTGAAACATTGTACTTATAGTACAAACGTCCCACTTCTTTCATTCCCTCCCTCAGCACCCCCCCACCCCTCTCTCTTTCTCTCTCTTTCTCTCTCTCTCTCTCTCTCTCTCTCTTTTTCTCCACACCCAGCTCTTAAGAGTAAAATTTTCTGGGTAGCAGTGACCCTTCCCTAAAATGCTCATTTTTTTATCTGTTTGCCTATACGGTGAGTATTTAAGAGCTGTTTAATCAACTTGGGTCTTGGCAAGT